GAGATCATTCTCAACTCACTAAATTAGAATCCACTGTGAATTATGAAAGCACAAACCCAATTTTCTACTCCTGGCACATCCAAAAATCTTTCATATCAGTATTTCTCTATAATTCTAAACTTAGGATGCATTTGGGACGGCTGCTATTTTCCCAAGTGAAGCTAGCCATCAGAAAGCTTCTGTTGGAAAAGCATGAATCTGTTTGGATAATCTGCTGTGATGATTTATTTCTGATGAAAAAAATTGTTTTGCCCTTATATATGTAATATATCAGAATAATTGTAATTTTCAAAATAAATATAACAAAAATAACATAAACAGGTCCTGCTACACACAAAAAAAAAAACCACGTTGGAGTGCAAAACTCTTTAATAATTAAAAAAGTGAGAAGTCTTTTCATGCATATAACTATAATAATGTGGACAAAAAAAAAAAAAACAAGCCTAGAATGACATTCATTTTTATGTCTTGACAATTTAAGTTTTTGGGATAATCTCCTCTCCACAACATCTCTCCAAACATGATCAATGACTGGGGCGAACTCATCTGTGCCATCAATCCAACGAAAATAATTATAATTTTTTAGTTGTCCTGTTTCTAGGACTATAATAAAATCTCCTACCATACCTGTCTTCCACTTTCAATTGGTAATCAACGCACCATGTGCCACAGTGGCAGAATGGAACTCTCATAGTATCGATTCTCTTGAACTAATGTTTCCTATGATTATAATACAATATGGATTCAATTGACAAAAAAAAATGATATGCAACATAAACATCAAGAAAATTAAACACTTTAAGAAAATGTAGAAAGGAAACATCAAGAAAACCTTAATGTAGGATGCTACAAAGTTTTAGAAAGTATGCATCTACAAAGCCAACGTATTGCTGAAAAAAGACATCATCAGCAAGAAGTCAGTACGTAATCCTACATAAATAAAATATATGCATGCATCAAAGCATTTGTAATCTCTTCTCTTAACTGGATCATCTCTTGTACGTCTTCTATCTCGAGCATTCGTATCAAAGTCCTCATCTGGCAATGAATGTCTGACCCGATGTTCTGATGCTTCCCTAGGTATGTAGGTAAGATCTTTATCTGAGACCTTGAATTCAATATCTTCTTGGGATAGATACCTTCATATAAAATTATAGAGTATTTTAGTTGCAACAACTATCTTGACTTGTTTTTGGATGGAGTACGTTGGCATATCTCAGAGCATAACCCACTTCTTCTTCCATACACTGAATGCTCTCTTGATAACGCTCTGTAATGAAGAGTGTCTTTTTTCACTAACATCTAAACAAAGACATTTGTAATAGGTCAAAACAATCTTTCATGGATATATTTTAAAAAGAGACAACAATCTTGTATTACTCTCCATAAAATGCTATTTCAGATTGCAGTATATAAAAATGATATGCAATTACTGATATAACAAGTAAACCAAGATATTTGTAATGACTCAAAATAATTTTTCCTAGATGTATTTTCAAAAGAACCAACACTGTTCATAATTCTCTACATAAAATGCTTTCACGTATTTAAGAGAAAGGGAATTACAATTACTGATCTAACATCTAAACTGAAATATTTACAGCTGGTCAGTACAATTTTTCATAGATATATTTTAAAAAGAATAAACAATGCTCATAATAATCTTCATAAATTGTTTTTCCATATTGAAAAAGTAGAAAAAAATGCAATTGCTGATTTAATAAGAAACTAAGATATTTGCAAAAACCTAAAAAAAAATATTCCTGGATATATCTTCAGAAGAACCAACACTACTCATAATACTCTCCATAAAATGTTTTTCCAATTTGAAGAAGAGGAAAGAAAATGCATTCAGGTCAAAATAAATTTTTGTGGATATATTTTAAAAAGAAACAACAGTGCTCGTAATATTCTCCAGAAAATGTTTTTCCATATTGAAAATGAGAAAAAAGAAATGCAATTAGTGATCTAACAAGTAAAGTGAGATATTTGCAAGAGCTAAAAATAATTTTTCCTAGATATATTTTAAATGAACCACATGTATCCCAATATTTTCTATAAAATGTTTTTTCCAGATTGAAGAAGAGAAACAGAAAATGCAATCACTGATCTAACATCTATATTGAGATACTTGTAACAGTTCAAAACAAATTTTCATGGATATTTTTCCAAAAGAACGAATGATGGTCTAATTGTTATCCATAAAATGCTTTTCCTGATTGAAGAAGAGAAAATTGAAATGCAACTGCTGATCTAATATGTAAATCAAGATATTTGTAATAAAAGAAGATGATTTATATCACCAACAGGTAAATCGAGAAGCACACAAAGAATAAGAGTTATACCATCAAAACTCCAAGACCACCAAAGCAACAAAATCACCGAAGCACTGAAATCATCTCAAACAACTAACAATTAAACCAAGAAACACATAGTTAAAAGAAATAACAAATTAAACCAATAAAATCAAACTACCATAACAGAGAGAATAAAATGAGTTATACATATAAAGAGAGTCAAAGAGAGGCGACGAAAGCGAGCACGGTTGGAGGGGAGAAGGAGATCAGGATTTTTCCCTAAAACTGCAGCGTAAGAGTAAGGGTTGGGGGCTAAAGGTGAATCAAGGCGTTTTATAATGGACATGGGAGAGAATACGATATTTCCAAAGGGATAGCGATGAGATTTTGCAGCAAAAACGGAGCCAAAGCCGTGGAGTGCACGCGCTCCCTCCATTCCTGTTTCTCTGTTCCATGGACGACCAACACTGAAAAGCAGCGAGAAAGCTCCCTAAAACGAGAAATATTTGCATACGTCTTACATACGCGGAGTTGCGTACATGTAGGTTACATTTAGATTACAAGAATGATTACTAGGGATATAACCTAAGTGTAACCTACCTGTATCTCCCGAATAATCTAATATGTACGCAACTTTGCATACGGCTTATGTATGCAAATATTTCTCAAAATAGCTTTTTCAAAATGTTAAGCATCCAATACACCACCCCAAACACAACTTAATATTTCTCTAAAATCTCAAATTTTCTATTTGAGTGAAGGGTAGATAATTATAATATCTATTTTTAAAAAAGTTCAATTCATGAAAGAAAGGCCTTATAATTTTTTTCTTGATTTTTCATGTAAGGAGTTATTAAAATATTTGTGCATGCAAATCGTTTTTTAATACTAGACTAAGAAGTAAAAAATTTTCCTTATCACCACAAAATTTTTAGTAACCGACAAAATTTACCCATAATTATGTTTGAATTGAGACAACCATTAACAACCTACTGTTAAGCCTATTTTTACTCTATACTAAACCAAATACTTTGAGACAATCTGAATATGATGTCCGTTGTAAGTAAAAGTGCTTTATGATGTAACTTCGGGTCATGAATTGAGAGATTGTTGTATTTCGATATAACTTTTTTCCATGAGCTCATATATCACATTATTTTTATCATTACAATCATGATCCAATCCAACTATACGAGATTAGGTGTAAGTCAAGCTGATTCGTGAGCTAGCTCAAAGTCGGCTTGAGAAGTGGCTTTTGTAAAGACGTGAACTGAGCTAGATGAGCTAGCAAGCCAAGCTCAAGCTAGCCCTGACCCAACTCTTTAGCTCATGAGCCGGCTCTTAAAAAATTATTAATATAAAATATATTAAAAATATATTAAATTTAAAGATTTCATCTTTAAAGTATTAAAAGTATTTAAAAATAATAGTTTATATTTTATATTAAGCGATATCATAGTTTATAATTACTCTTTTTATTTGTCATTTTATTATAGCACAATCTTAAATTTATATTATTTTCTCCCTTTTATAATAAACAAGTAAGTTAGTTCTAACTCCTAGACCTAAGCTTGAGTTCAAGCTCAAATTTGATAAAATTAATCATACGAACTCAAGTCAAGAATAACTCAAGCCCGACTCATTTACACGACCGCATGGAAATGCCATTCCGGAAATTATGAGAAAATATTTAATCTAGACGACGAATGACCGAAACCCCTTATAGAGATGAGATATGTCAAACACGAGTCATGGAAAACGACTCTTTAGAAGTCGACTTCCTAGACTCCAAATCACTGTAGAAAACAAGTGGGGCGCCATTACGCCATGACTCGAGCTTTACCTGGAACGTCAGTGAGATCTCGCATGAAGTAGGGCCCCGCTAAGCTCACATTATTCGCAGGCTAACGCCCTTCCTTGCTGCATCTTGGAGAGGTTCCATTGTCTGGTTGGTTGCCTGGAATGAATAATTAGATAGAGGAGAGAATGCCAGGCTGCCGGCCTTTCTCTTATTTTATTTGTGCTGTTTATGAATAATTCTAGACATGAAATCATGATCTCCAATCTCCTCACCAAGCTAAGAATATACGTTGATTATTCCTATCTTGGAAGCAAGAGTGTCGAATTGAACTTGGTTGGGTGCTTTAGCAGACATATCGACAGTTTCAGGTATTATCAGAGTGATAATTTCTTATTTTTTATTTTATTTTATAAAGTGTGTATCAATCTTGATATGCTTAGTCTTATCATGGTAGATAGGGTCTTTAGCAACGCTCTCTGTAGGTTGGTTGTAACACATCATAAGCTTTGATTTTTGACGCAATCAATTAGCCATGACCATGAATTAGCTTCAGTTGTACTTCAATAACTGCTTTCTTTCGCTTTCCCAAGTGGTTTAATTTTCACATATCAATAACCAATTGCTAGAAGTGAATCATTGATCAGTTATAGACCTCACCCAATCATTATCCGTAAAAATTTCAATGCACTATTTGTTCATTTCTTGAAAATATCTTTTTATGATGTATTTTAAAGATAGTTTAGCATGCCATATACAATATTAAAATGTTTTTCCTTATGATTATCCTCGTATTGACTGACTGCCCTAACTGGAAATTAGATTTTAGGCCTATAAGGACTGATGAGACAATAGTGTCCAACTTGCCTGTTTCAGAACAAGGACAACGTGAAAGCGGAGATGGCTTTTCAACTGTTGAGGGAAAATTAGGCAGCTCATTGACATTAGAGGATATCCAAAATGAGAAATTTAATTCCCAGGTAGAAGTTCACGGGGATTTATACAGTAAGGAAAATCTAAGCACAGGCTGTAATGATGAAGGAGATGGGTCAATGCACCAGCTTCATGTGTCTAATGGCTTTAATGTCCAAACAGAAGAAGAGGAAGCTTTTTCAGAAGATAAAGAAGTGGACCCTGTATTTGATGGAACAGAACGTCTTGAAATGGAAGCAACCGGTTCTCTTAGCTTATCTCCAGAACAAGACTCAGATCTGCAGGCCTCTGCTTGGCCAGAAAAAGCTGTTGCTTTTAAAAATTTTGTCAAGGACAAGGGATCAGTTGCAGTGTCGACTGTTCTACGTCGTCTTTCTGGCAAGAAGGATGACGATTATGAGGTGCATTGTGATGTGGAAGAGGATGAAGTTGCATTTAGGGGAATTAAAGAGGAAGAAGATTCAGGCACAGAATTTAAACTAAAGGACGTTTTAATGAAGGCAGGAGACATATCCACATGGAATCCTCTCAACTATATCAAGATTGGACGAGATGTAGATATACAAAACATGGTGGCACAAGCAGAAGAAGTCAATGATGGAAAGACTGTAGAAGAGCAAGCAATGAAGGGGAGAATTATTGTATACACAAAGCTGGGGTGTCAAGAATGCAGAGGGGTTAGGTTATTTATGCGTCAGAAGAAGCTTAGATATGTTGAAATTAATATTGATATTTATCCTAACAGAAAGCTGGAGTTGGAGAAAGCTACTGGATCCTCAAATGTTCCACTAGTGTACTTCAATGAGGTTCTGATAGGTGGTTTGGATGAATTGAAGCTCTTGGAGAAATCTGGTATGCTTGATGAAAGGATTAATGCCCTTGCAAAGGATGAACCATCATCTGCAGCTCCTTTGCCACCATTGCCTGGTGAAGATGATGTCACCGGTAGTGGAAAGATTGATGAGTTGGCTACCATTGTCAGAAAGATGAAAGAGTCCATCGTCGTTAAGGATAGGTTCTACAAGATGAGAAGATTCATTAGGTGCTTTCTTGCCTCCGAAGCTGTGGATTTCCTGGCAGAGGATCAATATCTTGAAAGAGAAGATGTTAGTTGACCATCTCATATAAAATTTTATTTAAAAATCATTCAATATACTATTTTTCCATGAGAAATTCATGTCTTTCTTTATGTTCCTTACAAAATAGTTTGAAGCTTCTACCTTATAGACTAGTTTAACAACTATGATACTTGATTGTTAACTTTTGGCTTAAAAACACAGGACAAGAATATTTCATTTTTCTTTTTTCCTTCGGTATTAAGAGGTGCATATATGAAGAGACAGCCTAGAATAGATAAAAACAAACTAGACATAAGAATAAAGAATCAAAAATAGTAATTATGCGGTGAATTCAAAATTTTTATTCTCCATCTTACAGAAAGTTGAGAAAGCAAATTAAGGAATTAGTTTGGGAGAAGGTGGATTTTCCAGAACTAATCCTTTAGGAGTCAGCGTATTAGCTACAGGGAGTTATTGCCATGCAGCACGAATAAGCAGTTTTTCATCTTGGAGAGGTTCAATAGTTGGCTGGGCAGCAGGGATTTATTTGGTTTCCTTCTCGGAGAGATTCTGCAACTGGTAGAGTGACTTTTTTTGCTGATTTATAGCTTTCAGTTGCGTGCTGCATCTTGGAGAGGTTCCATTGTCTGGTTGGTTGCCTGGAATGAATAATTAGATAGAGGAGAGAATGCCAGGCTGCCGGCCTTTCTCTTATTTTATTTGTGCTGTTTATGAATAATTCTAGACATGAAATCATGATCTCCAATCTCCTCACCAAGCTAAGAATATACGTTGATTATTCCTATCTTGGAAGCAAGAGTGTCGAATTGAACTTGGTTGGGTGCTTTAGCAGACATATCGACAGTTTCAGGTATTATCAGAGTGATAATTTCTTATTTTTTATTTTATTTTATAAAGTGTGTATCAATCTTGATATGCTTAGTCTTATCATGGTAGATAGGGTCTTTAGCAACGCTCTCTGTAGGTTGGTTGTAACACATCATAAGCTTTGATTTTTGACGCAATCAATTAGCCATGACCATGAATTAGCTTCAGTTGTACTTCAATAACTGCTTTCTTTCGCTTTCCCAAGTGGTTTAATTTTCACATATCAATAACCAATTGCTAGAAGTGAATCATTGATCAGTTATAGACCTCACCCAATCATTATCCGTAAAAATTTCAATGCACTATTTGTTCATTTCTTGAAAGTATCTTTTTATGATGTATTTTAAAGATAGTTTAGCATGCCGTATACAATATTAAAATGTTTTTCTTATGATAATCCTCGTATTGACTGACTGCACTAACTGGAAATTAGATTTTAGGCCTATTATAAGAGAGATGGATCAATTTCTATACCAATATTTGGTATTTTCTTTTGTCAACAAGTTCTGAATCTTTCTTAGTTTCGGCTTTGTTTGGAGGGATCTGTTGGAATGTTTGTAGGCTTACATCATAGTATGCCAGTTTCTGTTCAGAGACAGATATCCCATTGCTCAAATTTGCTATTTCTTTGTTTAATAATTATTTTAATGAACCAAGATCCACATTTCAGATTTATTTGTCTAGAGATCATTCAACATGTTTGTCTCATCTTAATGATATGCTGTCACAATGATATCACATATGCAATTCCTGCATTAATTTTATCTTTAGTTGATGTTTTTATAAGTAAATCATGGTTGCATTATCATTGACAGTACTAATATTGACTTTAAATCACTACGGCGAATCTCTTGATCTAGGCTCTTGATGATTGTTTTATGCTATATAATAATTTTTAGAGTGTGCAAACTTGGTTTTTATTTTTAGTGGTCTCAAATTCAGAAAGTATAACACTTTTTAACTTTTTATAAGTTTTTTATTTTAACAGATATTTTTTACTTGATGTTAGTGAAATAATCAATTTTAATCTTGCCACTAGGCCACAACTTGACTTAGAATCAATTTAATAAGTTTGAGTGAAAACTTTCACAACTCATCTTGCTTTGTATGTTCAATAATTCCATTAACTTTGAATCTCATATTGATGAACGTTTTGAATTTGATGGGTTTTTTTTTCATGGGGAAATTTTGAAAGTTTTAATGTATCATTTATTTTAAGGTCCTTAATTTCTTCATGAGCCACATTTCTCTATTTAGGTATCTTTAAGGCTTCTTGAATATTATTAGGAATTCTAATGCAAGAAAAATTCATGATAAAAGCATGAAACTTAGGAGATACTTTGTCATAAGAAATATAACTAATTGGGTGTTTTATGCAAGCCCTTATGTTTTTACTAGAGCAATAGAAATATTTAGATTATCCTCGGAGTCAATTTTGCGTTGCGGAATGGTATCAGAACTTGGGTTAGGCATAAAGTTTAGTTTCACTTTGTCAATTGAAAATTTGATCATTTAGAATAGGAATTTTTTTTGTATCTTGCTCATTTTGTGATCTTTGAAGCTTTCAGGGTATTCGAAAGAGAGTGATTCATGTGTGTGGGAAGTATGTTTGGAAGGAGTGTAGATTTAGATAAGATAGGGCTGATATTATTACAATACTCATGTTCAAATAGTGAGTTGGTGTTCCCCCCTGACAATATTGGAAAAGAAAGATTTGTTTTGAAAAAAGTCACATTCTTGACAATGTAGTATTTTTCAGTAATGGCAGAATAATATTGGTACAATTGTTGGCATGGATAGAAGCCAACAATGATACATTTTATGGGTTTTCAAGTCAAAATTGCTTCTTTAATGAGGAGTATGAGAAACAATGAGAGAGGTGCCAATTATCTCGAGAGGAATGGTGAAGAGATGAGTTTGGTTTTGGGATATGTTGGGTGAAATTTTAATTTAAAATTTTTGATGGCATACAATTATTGACTGATGCAATGGTAAAGAAAGCATCTCTCTAATAATAATTTGAGACATTAGTGATCATAACTGATTGAATAACCTTTGTAAGATGTGGAACGTTGGTGATCATAGTATTTTTTTCCTATTGTCAGTTTTGAAAGTTTGAATTTAGGTTTTAAATTAAGTTTGTATTAAAGAGTGCAGTTTTAGAAAAGTAAAACTTGTTTCACATTTATCTTTTATTAGCAGAATTCAATTCATTTTGGTATGAATATCTATAAAAGTTAAAAATTACCTAGCACATGCGATACTGTTTACATGAGATAGTCCCAAAATGTCATTATGGAAGACAACAAAATGTCGTGCGGCTTTATCTGAATGACCTGGATTAGTATTTGAGTTTTTTACGAAATTGATAAGTTTCTCATTGGAATGCTTTAGAATTTGTATTGATGAATTCAGAGAGTAAAAATTTTTTAAGGTGCATGAAATCGGGATGTCAAAATTGAAAGTGCCACAATATTATTGTATTTTGTTAGAGCAAGATGCATGCCGAGCTTGTTTTAGTTTCATTTCAGGATTTTCTTTAACATTCAAAAGTGGAGGTTAATATTTTCGTTAACGTTACTTTATCCTTCTTGATACTACATCCTTGAATTCATAGAGTAGAAAAAAAAATTGTGACACGGTTCATTTCATTGATAATTTTATTGATTGATATAATAATGCAGGAAAGTTTACAAACCTAGAGACTTTAGTTAAAAGTCAGGGAGCAAGTGGCATTGATAGTCCTAATAAAAAGTATGTGAAATACTAACCTTGATTGTCTAGTTCTTCGAATAAGGATGAAGTGTGTGAAATAAAGAGACATTCTCTTTCATATAACTAGAGGCTATAGAGTCCACAATTCAAGGTTTTTAGATTTTTATTTTGGATGCTAAAGGTATTCAAAATCATATCTTTTTGAGCAATTGTATTGATGGTGATTTAAGATGCTGGCAGATTTGATTTGAGATTAATAGCTGACAAATTGGAGAAGGTTTCTTGGATACCGCGTATGTGATTGAATCTTAATTTATAGCCGGAGTGGAATCGTAGGAATAGCTGCTTGCTAAGTCCATTTATTGTTTAAACGCCATCATGGTTTAAAGCGGGCGAAGATTTTAAATAATAAGAGATTTTATGAGAAAGAGTTTGAAATATGAGATGAATTGGTAGACAAAGACGGATGTCTCTGATACCATATTGAAAAATAGAGGCGAAGAATACAACATTTTTCCCATTCCTTGGGTATTAACACATGAGGAATATATAGATATAATATGTATAGCCTTGGATAGGAAGAAATAAAGTAGGCAAAGAAAAAAGTATGAAAAAATCAATCATTACATCCAGGATTTTTATTGTCCATCATAAGGGGAACTAAGGCATAGTTTCCAAAATTGAGATTTTTTGCCACAGTGAACTCTATCAGAAGCCCTTAATAATGGTGAGTTAATTGTTGTGCAACAGTGAATCAACAGTTTTTCATCTCGCAGAGGGAAATTATTTTGTTTTTTTTTGGAGAGTTCCTACAGTTGGGAAGCAATTTTTGTGTTTATTTTTAAATTTCTAGTTTTAGGAAGAAGCTTTCAAAAATGGCTGGGAACCAGTCCACCAAGTTGGTTGCCTAGAATATTGGCTCGTTTTAGCTTTATATCAAAAAAAAAAAGATACAGAAACTCAATAAAATATAAAACAAATTTAAAACATGCAGAAAACAAGTAGCTAGGGACGAGTCAGTTTAGTCCTGGCTCTTCCTCTAGTTTTAGGAGCGGAAGCAGATAACAAACTTTGAAAAATCTTGCCATTGCCAGGAGCCACCAAAGTATCATCCATTAAGTTTCCAAGTTGGAGTGAGCCCCGCCTTCTTCTTCCGCCGAGAAGTGTAAACCTGTCATTCTTCATCTAAAGATTGGCTCATGTGATCCTCGATCTGATTTGATGTTAGCAACGCAGGAGGAAAGGCATTCGTTGCCACCGCGATAGGTTCCCGTGTATGTGAAGTGTGAATTGTTACCTCTGCACCTGATGCTTCTTGAATAGGAGCTGCGAGACTATCCTGATTTTTAGTTTGAACATTATCCTTTGTAATATGGTCGGGAGAAGAGATTTCAGGGGCAGACACCAACTCCTGTCTTGTGGTGATTCCCTCCTCAAGTTGGTTG